CCCAGTAATAACCTCCCCCTTCGCCCTTCGGCTCGGATTTAACAAATTCCCTTAACGCCCTACCGGTAGCAGCTGTGCGCCCGGCCGGCGTCGGCTGCCTCGGCTCAGCCCGCGGGGGAGGACGCGGCCGGAGGGGAAGGGAAGGGGCTGACCCTGAAACAATTATTATCCTCCCCTGCCGAAATAGATTAGCTAGTTAAGTTTGCATGTTGATGTCGCCTGGATGTTGGATCCCCTGGGCACGGCAGCGCGGCTCCACCGCGGCCGTGGCATAACGTGAGCCTGGAAAGCCCGGCAAGCCGCGCACATGGGGCCGTCTCTAGAGAGGCTCCGGGGCGGCGCCGCGTGGATGACGGCGTGGGGTATCGCCGGGTAAGCCAGCGCTAAGCCGGAGCGGCGCCGCGGCAATACCCCGCGCCATCCACCCCGCCAACCCGCCAGACACGGCAATGCCACTCTGACTAGTTACAAATTTTTCAGCGAGACAACTCGGTCGCCAGCTACGCCTATCTCCGGGTGAAAAAAAAAACAACGATGAAAATAGCGGGACTCGAACCCCGCTCCACGACAATTGAAAACAGTCCGGCTCGACGAACAGTGGTGGCGTTTTTTCCGTTTCGAGCGCGCTGCGTGTTCGGTGTGAATGCACGGCGATATGACACGCGCGGCTCGAATTTCCGTGCCGCCCCTGCGACATTACATCAGTGGGGCGTCCCAGCGGGCTGATTCCGAGAGTCGTTTTCGTCGCCTGTCGCACTCGCACGCATAGGGGACGCCCCATGAGTGCGAGAGGGACAGAGCGACGAAGACGACTCTCGGAATCAGTCTGCTGCCCTGTCCCAGCGGGGCTGGTGGCCGCGGTGGGCCGCGCGCTGCCGCCCACCCCACCCCACCCCTCCTCTTTTTCAATCTTTAACGCCGCTGCTTATCTTTCGGGATGATCGCGGGGCCACCCCGGAGCCACCCCGCCCCGCCCCACCCCGCCCCGCCCCGCCCCGCCCCCCCCGCTCGTCCCGGCGGCTTAGCCCGACATGGGGGCAGCGTAATACTGCATCGGGTTGCATAAACACGGCTCAGCGGCCTGGCGGGCTGCCTGGCGGTCTCGGTGGGGGAGGCCCGCGAGTCTTTGCCGATTTAAAGTGCGCGGGGTATCCGTTGCCGAGGAGGAGGCCTCTAACAGGATGAAGCATCTGTTGCCGTGCGGACCGCTACCCCCTGAGGAGCAGGCGGGGTGGCGGGTGGCGGCGCCGAGGCCGCCGTCGTCTGATTAGGACGCCGACATGGAATATTCATCCCCGTCGTCGTCGTCGAGGGCCACGCGTGAGGCGGCCGTAATCCCCGGGCCCTCCCCGACAAGTCGACAGGTCGCGCTGCACAGTGGGCCAGAAGACCGGACAAAACTCTAGACGCGTTTTGAGCTCCCGAGTCGCTAAGCAGGACTCGAATCGTATGTGTGACCCCATCAATGGATTCCTCGTTCGGAGAGCAGTCCATTGGTGGGGTCATACGTTCGATTCTAGTCCGTCCCACTAAGCGACTCTGACGGTCAAAACGCGTCTATCGCCTCCTCCGGTCTTCTGGCCCACTGTGCGCTGCACCGCGGCGACGGCTGCTTGCTCTAGGCTTCCAGGCTTCGCGGCTTCCAGGGGAGCGAGATGGGATGCCGAGGCAAGGCGCTGCACTGTTTAATTTTTCGCCGGCTTTGCCGCTCCAGTGTGCCGGTGTAATGAGTGCGGTATTGTAGCGAGGCGCGGCCGGGCGTGGCGTGGCGGCGCGTGTTGTGGGTGGCGCCGGTGGCGCAGCCTCGCGGATGGCTGCCCTCGGCCGCGCCGCCCGGGGCCAGCGGCTGCCTCTCTCGCACCCCTCCGGGCCGCACCGCGAGAGCGACGGAGACAGCCCGCTCGGAATCATCCCGTCGGCCGGGCGCGGCAGGCGGCCTCCGCGTTTTGGTAGCGACTATTACAATCCCCATTGTGTGTACTTCATTTTCTGGAGATTCGATTGCTTTGCCATCGCGGTGCGCCGCGGCCCCAGTCCCGCCGGCGGCGTGGTTTGCACGTGCATCGGGGCGGAACTGCGCAGCCACCGCTCCCTCCCAGGGCCGGATCCAGAGACGGCAGTTCGAGGGGGGGAGGACACCTCCAGACCGGCGACGTCGTCGTCGTCGTCCTCCCCTCCGAAATGAGGTCATCCCGATTCCGTTCGCAGCGCTGGCGCGCGCCGCCGGCTGGTCAGCCGGTGATCCGTAACACGTGTGCACGCCGTGCCGCGCCTGGGGCCGCAACTGCCGTGCGGCGGCCGCCAGTTACGCCACTGCGCGACGCAGCGAGTCATCAGGTGCTGCAGGCCGTGCAGGCAGACAGTGCAGGCTGCAAGGGGAATCCGATCGCCCCGGCAGTTACAGCGGCACCACTATTTCACGGGTCATCGCCCACCCGCGCGTGCCTGCAGCCTCGTTGCGAGCAGGTCGCGCCGTCTCTCTCGCACTCCCACTGTACCAGACGGGGCGCCCCGTGCGTGCGAGAGAGACAGCGACAGCGTGCGCCCCCGCAATACGTACGATCTGCCGCCGGTCGTGCCGGCCGGCCAGTGCAGTGCCAGTGCACTGCGATGATGTTGATGGGTTCATCACGCGCTTGTGGCCCAATAATGCGCCGTGCGTCCCGCTGCGCAGTGGGCCAGAAGACCGGTGGAGGCGGTCGAAGTCCTCAACGCGTTTTGAGCTCCAGAGTCGCTAAATGGGACTCAAACTGAACGTGTGACCCCACCAATGGATTGCTCTCCGAACGAGGAATCCATTGGTGGGGTCACACGTTCGTTTCAGGTCTCTTTTAGAGACACTGGAGCTCGAAACGCTTCGAGAGTTTCAGCCGCCTCCACTGGTCTTCTGGCCCACTGTGCAGCAGTCATTTCAGAGACAAGAGCTAATATTGGCTTCTTTTTGGCGGTCTTCTTCGTCGGCGATCGGGAGCGTTTTGCAATAAAGCTGCACACACACACAGACGTGCACACAGACGTGCTCGCCCCGGAGCGTGACGGCGTGGGCGTTCGAAGCAGAGGTGGCCGCCCCGTCAAGCCGGGCTGGCCGAGGCTGGCTGTGCCGGCGGCAGGTTGCCGCTTCGGACGCGCTCCCCGGCTGGTGCATCGAGCAAACACACTGGAAGGCTTTGTACAGTGTAAGTTAATACCTCGTCCCTGGGGGCGGTGCGGAGCGCGGTGCGCGGGCAAGGGGTGGCTTCAGCTCCGGCTTGTTTGGAGGCTGGGGCAACGCCGGGCCCGCGCTGCCACATGTGACTCACCTTCATCTCCTCTGGGAATCGGAACAGTGGCGCCGCGTAGTGGCTGTATTAGCAAGCGACACGGCCAATGAGCTGCACTCATCCCACCCGGGATGGGGTGCGAGAGAGAGAAAAAACAACTCGCTGAAAGGGGTTGTTTCGGACAACGGACCAGAAGTTGCTGTTGGCTTTTCCCCCAGACATATGCTAGTGATATCTGCCACTCAATCGTAGTTTAAAAATAAACGTTCTCAAAAAAACAACAACAACAACAATATAGGCAAAAAAAACACCGAAAATTCGGTGTTTGAACCCCGGTCCAATGGTTTTATCCGCAGCTCGCAGGCGCCCGGCCAAGGGACGATGGGGTTGCCAGCACAATGGCTGAGGCGGTGAGACTGTTGCAGCCAATCCCAGGCGGGCAGTCTTGAGTCGCGAAAGGGACGGACAACACAATTGCGAGACTGTACGGCCTGGCCGCGGGCCGTGGCTGGCCGTGGCTGGCCGAGGCCGGGGCGCTGATGATTAGATTTGACAAAAGGCGGTGTACGAAAAGCAAAGCTGCGTGACGCGTGCCGAATTTCAATGGGGGCGAGGGACACACAAAGGGCTGCCGGGCCGCGGCCGAGGTGTCGCTCTGTCTCTCTCGCACCCCTGCCGAACGCCCCACGAGTGCGAGAGAGACAGAGCGACGAAGTTCGGCATCGGGCCGCGGGCAGTGCGTGGGTGCGCATGGTAAGTACTCGGGGTGAGTCATATCTCTCTCTCTCTCTCTCTCTCTCTCTTAAAAAAAAAAAACAATAATACTGCATGCATATTTTGTGACAAAATTGAACTCATGTCCTGGCCCTAATTGTTAAAAACAAAATCCCCCCAATAAATAATTTTAAAAACTAAAAACTCTCTCTCTCTCTCTCTCTCTCTCTCTCTCTCGCTCGGGCGGTGTGATATCCAGCATCCGCCGCCCTGCCCGCACTGATTTCATTTACTTGCAATGAGGTACTGACCGTAATCCTATCAAACCGTGGCCCGGCTTTGTTGTCATACCGCGATGACGAAAGAGGGGCGCGCAACGCATCCCACAGTGGATGACGGGGCGAGCAGCGGGAGGCCGCCAAGATGGCCGCCGCCGGCAGGCCCGAGATTTCGTTTAAAAATTAGTTTTTATTTTATCGGCACTCAGTCAGTGGTTGGAGACACTGCTTGTGATTCAGCTTCAGCTCTTTCTGACCAACGCGGAAGGCCTTCCTCAATGTCCTGGTTTTCCTAAAATCCTTTAGACGTTTCTATCTCAGCATGTTTAGGAGCACCAGCCTCGCAAAGTTGACAAAAAGTATAGGATTTAAGTGACTTGATCCAAACTTGAAAACTAAAATACGTCGTTGTCTGGTTGGAAATTTCGAGGGAACTTTCCGTTCCTTGCCAATCCCTGTTTCTCGCCACTGTAGCCCACTCAACTTTCAGCTCAAATTCCTTTCCTTTCCTCTGGGAAGAAACCATCAAAACGTGCGCCCCGAGGGCCACCCCTTTCCTTCCCACCTGAGCGCGGGGTGCTTCTAGTTCTCGAGGCTGCCGCCCGAGGGCGCGCGCTGCAGGTTTAGACTTGGTCTCCCCCGTCCTGCTCCTGCCCGGCCGCGCCGCGCCGCCCCCCGCGGGTCTTCCCTCCCCCCTCCCCTCGCGCCCGGCTCGGCGCGCCCGCCAGTTCAGTACCCTGCGGGAAGCCATCGAGGCAGGACGTCTGTCTGCACGACCCGCATCCGCGCCGCCGCGCCGCGTCGCGTGCTTCGCCTCGCGTTCCGTTCGCTGTCCGGTTCTGTGATCAAACAGTGTGCCGCCTCGCGAGGCGCCCACGGACTCGGGGACTCCCCTGTGAGTCAGTCAGTGTGAGTGTCTCTCCCGGCGGATTACCCTCTGGATTACCCTTTTGGATTACTTTGGATTTACTCGGGGAATGACCAATCCCCCGCGAGGCAGTGAAGTGAAAGTGCACAGTGGGCCAGAAGACCGGTGGAGGCGGCCAAAATTCTAGAAGCGTTTTGAGGTCCAGAGTCGCTAAGCAGGGCTCGAACCGAGCGTGTAACCCCACCAATGGGTTCCTCGTCCGGAGAGCAATCCATTGGTGGGGTCACACGCTCGGTTTGAGTCTAGTTTAGCGACCCTGCAGCTCGAAACGCGTCTCCACTCCACCGTCAGGGCCTCCAGGGCCTCCAGGGCGTGATGCCTCCCTGTGATCGGCCACCTGGCCGGGGCGATAATCCTCCCCACGGGGTGCGATAATGCTGCGCCGCAGATAGCGAGCCATCGATTCGTTAATCGTCCGTAAAGCGCTGGGCAGGCAGGAACCGAACCCACGACGGCTGCAGTCCACTGTAGGAAAATACAGTGCGCCTCCGCCCCGTCCCAGGGGCCGTCCGCTAGCGTGAGCCCTTGGAGACAACGTCCAGTAGGCAACCCTGCCCGCCGTGCCGCTCGGACGGGTTGAGACCTGTCCGAGGCGCGCTGGCGAGGCGGGGCGGGGCGTAGCGGGCTGCGTAGCGCGGCGGCAGGCGGTCACTTCAAAGATAGCTCGGCTTTCGCACTCCGCGCCGCCGAGTGTGGTGACTGCTGCGGCTCTACATTGTTGCCTCGTCTTGTCCACAGGTGCTCCCCGCGGCCAGCCTGGTGCCGCCTGCGACGACCGCCGGACGCGGCTCTGTGGATTTACCAGTGGAGTGATACGAAAAGAAAGTGCTTCGAGTGTAGTGCGCGTGCTGCCCCGGCCTGGATATACTCGTGGGCACCGCGGTGGTGTTAGTGCAAAGTGTTGTTGGTGTGAGTGTATTACCAGTGCACCGACGCATCGAGTCTCCTCGCCTGTGTTGGATCTAACCCTGTCGCCGCGGCGGCCACCAGCGTTTTCTTCACAAGGTGAGTGTCGCGGGTTCGAGTACCGCCGCCCCCTTCGATTTCCTCGTGTTTTTCTCGTTGCTTTGACGGCGCGTGCGTGCCGTGCGTGCTGGGACCGCGGCGGTCGCGTGCGTGCGCGCCGTAAGGTCCCTCCGCGGCGTCGCGGCCGCGGGGGGCGCGGAGTGGCTGGCTCATTCCGAGCGTTCTGTCTCTCTCGCACTCGCGGGGCGCGCCGTGGGCCCGTGGGGGTGCGAGCGAGACGGAGCACCGCCGTGTCGTGTGTTGTGTTCCGTTGCTGCACGCGCTGCACGCACGCGCTGGACGTGTCAACCTGCTGCATCTGGATCCGGTCCAACTTATGACGCGGCCCCGCCTCGCATCACGGCGAGGCACGCTGCAAAACGCAAAAACACACACCCTCAAAAAAAAACACCGTTTCCAGTTTTTTGCGGTGTACGCGGCGAGTGCATGGGCGGCAGAGGGAAGGAGCGGGGCTATGAAATTATGATTAAAATCGCTCAGCGCTAGGAAATGAAGCAAATGAATCAAAGTGGGGGGCGTTGCCGTGCCTCGGCGTGGCCAAGGGGAAACTTTTTGACGGTGTACTGCCGCGCGCCGCCGTGTCGCGAACCCACGTCGATGGCTGATGCTTGTATGCAAATGCCGCTTTCGGGACGTATTTATTGCGTTCGGCCTGGCCGGCACAGTGAGTGGATACAAACAACATGCCAGGTGTGTGTGTGTGTGTGTGTGTGTGTGTGTGTGTGTGTGTGTGTGTGGGTTTTTGTGGTGTTGTGTGGCGCGTGTGGGTGTGGTGTGTGTGTGTGTGCGTGTGTGGGGTTGTGTGTGTGGTTGGTGGCGTGCGTGGTGGTATGGGTGTGTGTGTGTGTGTGTGTGTGTGTGTGTGCGTGTGCGCGTGTGTCCGTGTGTGTGTGTGTGCGTTGCGGTGGGTCGTCGTGCTTTCTAACGCGGATGGTTCATCATTTGGGGCTGGTTCGGCTCCGTTCGGGTCACGACCGACGCGAAGCGCGTTAGGCCCGTTGTCCGTCAGGCCGGGCCGCGCCGCCCTGGACAGCTCTCCCGCCTGGAGTCGCCCGGAGTCCAGCGCGGTCTGGAGGCTCCGGTCGCTGGACGGGATGCCTGAGGCGCCTACAGCCTTGCCTCCAGCGCCTCCAGCGGGCCGCGGCGGTGACAGCGGGGCTGGTTCCTCCGCGACGCGACGCGCTTGACCGGCTTGACCCCCGACGCCATGACGGACCTGTTCGTGGACCACAGGCAAAGCCTGCAACCGGCTGCACCTTTCAAAAAAAATCAACAAAAAACGGCAGTTTGTTGTTGTAACACGATGCAAATACGAAAGTGCAGTTTCCCGTGTCCGCGCCTCGGACTTTTACTCGACGTGAAAGTGACCCCGGGCGTGCGGTGTGTCACGCGGAATCGAAAATCACTCACTCACTCACACACTGGCGTGCACGCAGGCGCTTGCCTGCCCGCATGGTGTACGCACGAGGCGCATAGTGCACGGCATTCCTGGCGAAAGTGGAAGTGACGCGGAACGGCGACCGGTTTGCCGGTCCTGGAGAACACGCTGCAGTCCGTCATGCAGGCCGTGATGGCCGTGATGGCCGTGATGCGGGCGCCGTGCCGGGGGACGCCCTGTGCGCCGCGAGCGCGCCCGGCGAGGATTTGATTTAAGCCCCGCCGGCTACTAACCGGGCTGGCTGGCTGGCTGGCGGGGCGACATGGCGGGGCGACATGGCGGGACGCCCTGCAGGCAGCCGGCTGCCCGTCCCATTGAATGTATCGCCGCTTGTCCGCTCGACAGGTGGTCATTGTTTTCGGGAGTCGTCGCCGCGTCGCCGAGTGGGCCGGACGACGGGTACCGGGGCCGGCCGCGTCCCCGGGGGCCTCCACGACGGCGTCCTCCACGCCCGCCGCCCCGCCGCCCCGCCCCGGACGGCGGAATGATTAGTGGATGTCATTTGGACGTCGGAATGCGTCGCGTGTGTGTGCGTCTGGGTGCGCGTGTGTGTCTGGCCTCATGCTGTGGGTGTTGTCGTCCGCCGTGATCAGACCGGACTACCGCCCCACTGAAAGACCTGACTCAAAAAACCCATAAATAAACGGTGATCGGGAGTTGAATAATTCGGTAAATAAAACCGTGCGACGAAAATTTTGTCCGCTCCTGTCTCGTCTCGGGCGTGCACCTTGGCGTCGTGGCTTCGATACGCGGCAAGGCTTCGTCGGGGCCACCCCTACGGTGGAAGTAAGGGTCTCTCTGTGTGTGTGTGTGTGTGTGCGCGCGAGGGGGAGTGAGCGAGAGATCGAACAAAAGACCTCTCCCTTTCCCTCTTGGTCGCCGGGTCGGGCCCGTCGGGGCATAGGGGCGCTCAGCACAATGTGGTATGTGCTAAGAGCAGGCCGCCAGTTAGGCAACCGCTCGTGCATTCAAAAGGCCTTGAATAGTGTGTGTGTGTGCGTGCGTGCGTGCGTGTGTGGGTGTGTGTTTGTAGTGGCGATCAGTTGCCTGTCGACGGAGTGGAGGGTCCCCGGGGCGGGCCGTGGGGCCGTGGGGGCCGTGGGGGCCGTGGGGCCGAGTGGCGATCGAAAGCTCACCGGATGGCCCGGTGTATGCCGTCCATAATCCCTTGCTTCGTCCTTCGGCCCCACGGGAAGGGGGCAAGGAAGACGACAAAAATAAAACGGAGGAGGTTAAGGACGGGACCGGCATGTCCTGCCGCGGATAGGCAACCCTGCGCCACCTGAGGCACAGGCACGCAAGCGGGGCCGTGAAAGCGAGAGGCGGCGGGGCCGGCGGGGCCTACACTCGACAAAGCCGGAAGGAAAGGAATCGGAATAAATAATGACAAGCCGTCCTTGCCTTTTCGTCGCTGTCTCTCTCGCGCTCCAGGGGCTGCCCGCGGGCGCGAGAGAGACAGCGGCGAGGTTCTGTTCGGGGGCAGCCTGCAGGGGCCGTCGGCCAGGGGGAGGGCTTAGAGGAGGGCCTGCTTCGCCTTGGCCGTGACTTGAGGTGCGTGCCGCGGTGCCGCGCCGTGCAGGCCTTGCAGTGCGGTCTGTTGGTCGGCTATCGATCTGGGAGGGCGGGAGGGCACGGGTCAGACCACGCGCAGCGACGCAACGCAAAGAGGGTGTAGAGGGGCCCTACTACCTGGTGCCCGCACTGTTCTAGCCGCACCGCGCTCTGTCTCTCTCGCACTCGTGGGGCGTTGCGGCGTGCGAGAGAGAGAGAGAGAGAGAGAGAGAGAGAGAGAGAGAGAGAGAGAGAGAGAGAGAGAGAGAGAGAGAGAGAGAGAGAGAATGGTCTGGCCACGCCCCCTGGGTGGCGGCAGTGGCGGCAGTGGCGGCACAGCCACGGCACTGCCAAGCCGAGGCGCGCCCGTGATGTGTCATTAGCACGATAGCGCCCTTTTCCTTCTGAATGACGACGATGACGATGATGCTTTTGAGGCGCGGCGGCGCGGCGGCCGCCTCCACGACGCGGGGGTGGCGGAGGCCGTTTGATAAGGTGGCGCCGCCTCCGGCCCGTCCCCGGCCTGCCCCCGGCCCGCCCCCGGTCAAAGGACGCGCCTAAAGCTGTCCTTTTGAAGGGCGCGGGCGTTTACTTCCACCATGTCCTGTAGAGATGGGACCCGCTGCTCTTGGGATAGGACGACCGGGCGGCTTGAGTGTGTACTGTACACACACGCACGCACACACACGCACGCGTGGCGTTTGGTATGTCTGTCGGTGTGCGCTTGGGACTTATTGGAACACGGTCGTCGTCGTGGTGGAAGCTGAAAGCCTGCCTGTGAGTCATTGAAATATCCGTCGGCCCCGCTGGCGGACGGACACGGACAGACAGACAGACGGGCAGGGAGACAGGTGGCTCGCTCCAATGGACAACGGCCTCCTCTGTGCCACTCTCGCTTTGGTTTCGCACTTCCGCTGCCCCACCACGCCCCGCCCCGCCCCGCCCCGCCCCGCCACGCCACGCCCCCCCGCGCCTCGGCGCCTCTCCGTCGGGCCGTCACCAGGCGTCGCCGTCGCGGTGCTGCTTGCTCAGGGCGTCGCGGCGCGTCGCGTTGCAGCGTCGTCCGGGAATAGCTCGCCAACTTTGTCGGGGGCGTCGCGGCAAGCGTCGCGGCGTCCTGGAGCGCGTTTTTGCGGCGCGGCGTTTAACGGCGCGCGTCCTCGTCGTCCTCCTCGTCGTCCTCCTCGTCCGCTGCAGTACTTCCGGTTTAATTCGTCTAATTGCCGGGGCGCGGGGGGCGAGGCGGGGCGAGGCGGGGCGAGGCGGGGCGAGGCGGGGCGAGGCGGGGCGAGGCGGGGCGAGGCACTGTCGCACCTGAAGCGGCAGAGCGGCGCGGTGCCCCGCGGTGTGGGAGCGCCGCACCTGGCTGCCGCCCCGCCGCGCCCCGCTGCTGGCGCTGCTGCAGGGCCAAAGGGAAAAGCTCGGGGCCACCGGGGATCGAACCCAAGACCCAGTGAGACTGGCGCTCGTGGGGGTGACGCGGCGTGGGCACTGCGCCACGGACAGGCGGAAGAAAGGGGGGGGGGGGAAGCTAGTTGGCGGCCCTTTGGTCCCGCGCCACCGCCCCGCCGTGCATGCAAAAAGGTCCCCACAGCGCGTGTTAGCCCTCAATAAAAAGCAGCCCGGATCCCCTGGCCGGGCCTGGCAGCGGGGGGCGCAAGGGCAGTACAGTATTTACTCTGTGTGTGTGTGTTGTGTGTGTGTGTGTGTGTGTGTGTGTGTGCGCGCCTGCATGTGCGCCCCCAAGGGCCGTGTGTTGGCCCCCGCGGCCTACGTGACACTGTTGCTGTTGTCCACGCAGCTGCCCTGCCTCGGCGCGCCCTTGCTGGAAGGTGCGTGCGTTTTGCGGCCCGTCGCTCTCTCTCTCTCTCTCTCTCTCTCTCCTCCCACACACACACACACTCACACACCCGCTGATGCGAATAATAGCACGGGAGCGACATTTTGCGGTGAACTTAGCGTGGCGCGGCATTGTGCTCGCATTGTGTGT